TTTGATTAGAGCACTTAATCCATTCAAATTTAAGGTTATTATCATAGGCACTTACTCATTTTTCACCTTTGTAACTGTGTTCCTCTCTCTCTCTCTTTTTCTTCATCTTCTTAAAACAGTCCCTTTAGCATATCCTGCAATGTTGGTTTAGTAGAAGTTTATTTTAGCCTTCTTTTGGCTGGGAAACTTCTTATTTTGCCTTCCACTTTAATTGAGAGCCTTGCTGGGTAGAATAGTCTTGGTTGCAGGCCTTTGCTTTTCATTGCTTGTAATATTTCTCTCCATTCCCTCTGGCTTGTAATGTTTCTGTTGAGAAGTCAGTGGCTAGTCTTATTGGGGCTCTCTTGTATGTTACTTCCTATTTCTTTCTGCCTTTAAGATTCCCTCTGTCTTTAAATTTTGCCATTTTATATATGATGTGCCTTTGGGTGGACCTCTTTGGGTTCCTCTTGATTGGGACCCTCTGTCCTTTCTGGACTTGTGTTACTTTTTCTCTCATCAAATTAGGGAAATTTTTCATCATTACTTTTTCAAACAGGTTTTCTATCCCTTGCTCTTCTTCTCTTTTTTATATTCATATTATACAGATATTATCACTGTTTATGTTTTCCTGCAGTTCCCTTAACCCTTTTCATTCTTTTTTAGTCTTTTTTCCTTTTCTTGCTCTTTCTGGGAGTTTTTTTCTACTTTGTCCTCCAGTTCATTGATTTGATTCTCTGCTTCATCTAGCCTGATTTGATTCCTTCTACTGTGTTCTTCAATTCAGAAATTGTATTCTTCATTTCCTCTTGGCTCTTATTGATAGTTTCTATGTCCTCTTTGATGCTGGTGTAGTTTGCAGTAAGTTCCTTATAGCTTCTCTGTAGTTCTTTCTAGTTTTCATTCAGCTCATCGAGCTTCCTTATAAGCACTGTTTTGAACTCAATATCCAATAGTTTACTCACTTCTGTTTATTTTAGTACCCTTTCTGATGATCCCTTTTTTCCTTTCAATTAGAGGTTATTTCTTTGTCCTCCCATATTTAGGGAGACTCTTCTTGTTTGCTTCTGCTTCTAAAATTGATCCGTTTTGACTCCCTGTCTTTGTGGTTTGAACTTCTATGGTAGCAGACCTGTGAGATTAGGTGGTGCAGTCCACTTGACCTCCTGAACTTGATGCTCTTGGGATCTCCTTTATGCTGTTTATGTTGGCTCTCTAGATGTAATTAGGCTTTGCTTCTTGTTGTGTCATTCTTTGGTGGGTCCTTCCCTCCAGGTTGACTGAGGGTCACTGTTCCCACCATGTCTTGTATGCTGTTGTGCAAGTGCTACCAGAACTAAACTACAAAGCCCAAGAAACAAACTCACAAGCCCAAGGAACCAAATTGGAGAGAAAGATCCACCATAGTACTATCAACAACAAATAAGCTAAAATTAATGTAGGTGGGATGGGAATAAGGGGGGGGGGAGGAAAGAAAGAAAAGGTTAAGAGATGTCTAGAGGAAAGGGAAGTAATTTTGAGATGATAAAGGAAGAAGGAATACTAAGAGCGGGGAATGAAAATCAGACTAAGACAGGGAAAAGTGAAAATCTGAGATGTAAAGAAAAATAAAAATAGGGCACAATGAAATAATAAAAAAGAAAAAGAAAAGAAAGAGATAAAACAGGCTAAGACATGGCAAAATTAAACTTTGAGACCAAAAAAAGAGTAGGAGAGGAGAATGGTACAATTTGAGATTTGAAATACAAAATTAGTGAAGATGTAGAGATAAAATGGAATGAAATGCAATGGCATCTACCCTATCCACAAGGAACAAGCAAAGATTGCTAAAGGTAGAGAGAGATCATGGATATTTTTATAGTGGGGAAATGAATGTGAGATAACCGTTGACAAGAAAATTGGTTTTGAGTGGCTGGACCGGGGAGAAACAGTAAGAGTACAGAATGGAAACAAGTTGTAGCAAGAGAGAAAACCAAATTTAAAATGAAAATAATAAGAGGAAAGAAGAAGGTAAAATGGGGTAAGAGAAGGAGGGGCAAAACATGTGAATTGAAATAAACTATAGTATAAAATATGGTAACAGTATTCACAAACTTGATAGACAAGAAATGAATGTTAAAAAGCTATACAGGAAAGAAAATATAACAAATTATGGAGACCAGAGTGGATTTCATCTCAGTAGCATCTAGTATTTACCACTTTTTTCTCTCCAGTTCTATCTCTGGTGATGTCAGGTGGTGACACTATCTTACCTTATGCAGCCTGCTCGAGATTTTCAGGAATCTACTGCCTGTGGCTGACATCTTCTGTTGTTAGTCTAGTCACTCTGCACTCAGCAGTCAGGCTTAAGCACCACAGAGCGGGGCAGAATTCTTACTTGTGTGGGGCTATTGTTTCCCCTCAAGCTGCTGTGGCTGGATGGGTGGGAAAGAGTGGTCTGCCTGAGCAAGATGGCTGCTACCATATGGGAGATGACTCAGCACCAGGATCCCAGCGTCTACTCTCAGTTCTCTCCCAAGAGCTTCTGTCCCCAATCTCTCCTTAGGTGTCTTTAGTTCACTCTGCACCCCCCTTTTCCCAGATCCCAGGGTAAGTGGCTGCAAATGAAAATTTGTGTGTTGACCCTTTAAACAGCTCTTTGCATCTCAAGCTGTCCGTGTCTGGCAGAGAGAAATCCTGCTGCTTTTTGCGACTGGATGTTATCTGTGTACTTTTTTGGTCTCTGGTGCTCTAGGCTGGGTTTCCAAGCTTAGGGTTTAGACCTCACACTTCTCTGGATCCACTCAGCCAGTGCTTCACCTGCCATCTTTGGCCACCCAGCCAACCCTTTTGCATCTCCACCCTCAGTCAGGATGTGCTGAAGGTTATTCTTCTTTCTCTCTGAAGTTATAAGGCTTCTCTCTTGCTATTGTTCAGTTGTTTGTTGTGAGTAATTTCTCCACAATTTAGTTGTAATTCCAGATTGGTCATGGGAGGAGGTCATCTTTGATCTCCCTTGTCTTGTTTCTGATGTTAGCAGAACAGCGTCAAATTTTCCTTATTAAATATGTTATTAGCTATAGACTTTGCACTCTTTATTTAAGCATAGCCACAATTATTTGCAGACGGTATCGGCACAGCCCATTCTTACCCTAAGCCTAATAAAGTTAATATTGATTATTTAATGCCATTTAATATATAGTTCATGTTTATATTTCCATGATTGCCTCAAAAATGTCTAAACAAACGTTCATATGTACATGTGATTAATATGTCTTTTAAGTCTCCTTTGATTCAATAAGAGTGTTTGTATGCTATAGTTTATACTTTTTTTTCTCCCTTCCAGTTCTCTGTGATCTTAACTTGCTGAAGGCTTTACATTTTAAGAAAATTACCCTTCGGTATTCAACTGCATTTTTGACTCATTTTCTCTATATTTAGATTATCATAATCACACCAAACAATATTTGACGCAGTCACCAGCTCACAGTGTCCGTGGCTTCATGGATGAGATATGAGACAAATTCTACTGAGTCCTGTGGAGAAAAAGGGACCTCATGGCTACTCTCTCAAGAGGGGAGTGCCTCAGAGTGTCTTGGCCACCTTCTGAAGGGGAGAGCACGCTGACCCTTGCATAGACAGGCTTTTATTGGGTTTAATTTATGCAGGAATACAGGTACAGCTCATTAATCATTGTCAGTCAGTGAGGATCAAACAGTAGATAGCATACAAAGAACTATGAGGGCTTCTTCTGAGTCAGGGTCTATCAGCTAAAAGGCTACAAAACTTTACGAAACAAACTCATTTCCTGCTTGGGCTTTTATCATTTAACTAAGAGCATTCTTAGCAAAACAGACTTCACAGGATTGTACATATCCTTTCTCAGGCCTGAGCACCCTGGGAGCCCGCCCTTTCCAGCACAGGGCTGCACCGCTCTCTGTCATTGTTTTAGGCTTAAATCAGGCAGAAGAGGCAAGATAGCCAAGGAATTAGGAGAAATGAGGACTTAGGCTTCATCAAAGCTGAGGGGTGAGGGTCCATCACCCCCTTTCTCCATAGCCCCCCAAGTCCTTCCCTGGGGCCTCCAAATGATCGTGCCTGTCTTAGGTGGTTCCCCCCTTAGGGAATCTTACCCATCGTTGGCTAACTGATCAAGCACTGGTGGCCAGTTATGGATGAAGGAGCAGAAGCAGTGCTCCTGCCAGGGAGATAAGCTTTGTCTCCTTAGTGGCTCATGGTCCAAAGGTCGCTCATTCAGCCTTAAGCATGGGGGGGGGGGGGTTACAGCTCCTGAAACCAGGCAGGGTGGATCCCAACAAATATTCACAATAATTCTCTAACATCATTTAATACCCATTTCATATTGTACTATCCTTCACAGGCCCCAAAATGTTCATTTGTGCAAACAAAGCCTATAGATGACAGCTGAAGAATGTTTTATCTCTTAAGTAGTTTTGCATTAAGAAAACTCTCCCCTCTTAAAAATTTCTTTATGAAATTAACTTGTTGAAGACTTGGGTCATATGCTAACTGCCCATTCTTAAATTTCAAGATATGTTTAAATTTTTGGTAACCTAACCTCAGCTACATAAGTGAAGAGAAGGTTGAAACCAGTTATGGCTTCTGCCCTACTCAAAGTTTCCCCCAAAACCTACATTCTGCACAGCCTGTAAGTGCTCTTTCTGTTTTGAGATTCCTGGGCCTTGTCCTTTGGCCTCAGGACAGAATTAGATGGGGAACTTCTGTTTTTACTATGATAGGTCACTTTATTTCTGAATGTGAGTGGTCATCTGTGGCCATTTTTAATAGAGTCCACACAGTAACAATGTCTCACTAGCTGCTGGGTGCTTCATTTTCCAACCAGACATTGGGGCTGAGCCCTCTCCTGGCCCAGCTATAGGGGCCTTATTTACAGGACACTGATTAAGAATGAGCTACTCTGATGCTCTACTACCTGCCTTGCATACCTCCCCTGACTGCTGCTGAACTAGGATGCTAGGTAAAAGGGTACTCCTCCTTATTTCTCTCCTTTTTTTCCCCAGCTCTGCTTGTGCAACTTGACTCTTCTCTAGGAAGAGCAATCAGCAGACCAGGAATATGGCTCCAGGGCTCCTGACAACTATTGATGAGGTGAGTCCTGAGATCTTTTTAGCTCCTGCAGGATGGACCCCTTGCCTTTTCTTTGTCCTAATACCTTGCTGGTATTAGGCCATATCTGGCCCCGACCTTGGGGATGTGACCCATCTTACCTGGATCCTTTTCTTAGACTCTTCTGCTTCATTCATGCTCATGCATTCACTAAGTAGAAAACTGTGATTGCAATTAAATTACAATCCACTGAGCTACACTAGCCAGGGCTACGCAGTTAAATTACAAATACAGAACATTTGTGCTTACATGCCTAGCAATTTCCAGGGCCTGATAAAGTGGAGGAAAGTTTTCGAGTGTGGAACTGAATGTACACCCCACCCCTGCCACAATGGAGTTGGCAAGTTGAAGAGCTGAGGGAAGGCATTCTTGTTGAAATGGGGCAGGAAGCGTAGTGTGTCTCAGTCTGGGTGACTGGCAGGCTATCCCTCACCCTGTGGGAAGCTTGGAGCTGCTAGTGGCCTTTGGTCACATCAGTTTTCTCTGTGTAGAGTTAAGGGTGCTGAACTGCTGTCACTTGACACTCTTGGATAGATTTAGTGTGACTGGCCCTGTGCTTTATGTTGAAATGAGTTTTCCACTTAAAAACTGGAAGATTACAACTAAAGGTCTGGATTGCCAACTTCTCTGAGAATAGATTATTTCTCACTGTTGTACATTCATGCTCTTGGCAGATGACAAATGGCTGGAGCCAAAAAGTGTCTCCATAGTGCAGTCACACTATTGTGCTCCTTGGCCCCAAAGCTGAGGTGGCTGCTTCACTCATTACTTACCTGGACCCTGGAGGCTTTGCCTTCATCCCCTCTGAGGCTGGATGGAGACAATTGAGGCAGACTCCTGAAAGCCATGCTGAGGGATATGGACTTGAACTTGAAGTAAACTAGGCTTTGAAGGATTTCGAGAAGGAGTTTGCCATGTTGAAATCAAGAATTTGGAAATAAATACTAATTAATTGAGTATATATCTTAATAGAAAGATTTTCTAATTTCTAAGACTAGGGAGGATGAGAGCTTGTCATTATTTAGCGCAGTTGACATTTACTGACCAACCTAACAGTGCCTGGTGGGGCATTTCTGTTCTGATTATGTTAGTTACATAAAAATAGTATCAACTGTGCTAATTCAGATTTGTATTGACTGTTCTATAAATATATCAAAGGTAGATTTTTTTCTGCAAGAACATCTGAACTTGATCTATATATATTATTAATTATGCTATTACAGTTGTCCCAATTTTTCCTCTTTGTGCCCCACCAACTAGTACCCACCAAACCCTCAGGCAAATTCTCCAACCCTAGTTCTTGTCCATGGGTCATGCATATAAGTTCTTTGGTTTCTCCATTTCCTATACTGTTCTTACATTCTCTGGTCTATTCTGAGCCTATCAATTTGTACTTCTTAAACCCTGCACCTGTCACCCATTCTCACCCTTCCCCCTCTCAGCTAATAACCCTTCAAATGATCTCCATATCTATGATTCTGTTTCTGTTCTGCTTCTTTGCTTAGCGTAAGATTCAATTGATAGTTGTGAATTTATTGCCATTTTAATGTTCATAGTTTTGATCTTCTTTTCCTTAAATAAGTTCCTTTAACATTTCATGTAAAAATTGCTTGGTGATGATGAACTCCTTTAGCTTTACCTTTTCTAGGAAGCACTTTATCTGCCCTTTGATTCTAAATGATAGCTTTGCTGGATAGAGTGATCTTGAATGTAGGTCCTTGCCTTTCATGACTTGGAATACTTCTTGCCAGTGCCTTCTTTCCTGTAATGTCTCTTTTGAGAAATCAGCTGACAGTCATAGGGGAACTCCTTTGTAGGTTATTATCTTCTTTTTTCTTGCTTCTTCTTTTCTCTCTTTTTCTTTATTTTAACCTTTGGTATTTTAATTGTGATGTGTCTTGGCATGGTCTTTGTGTCCATCTTGTTTGGGACTTTCTGTGCTTCCTGGACTTGTATGTATATTTACTTCACCAAATCAGGGAAGTTTTCTTTCATTATTTTTTTCAAGTAAGTTTTTGGTTTCTTACTCTTTTTCTTCTCTTTCTACCACCCCTATGATTTCAATGTTGGCATGTTTTAGGTTGTCTCAGAGGCTCCTTAGCCTATTCTCATATTTTAAATTCTTTTTATTTCTTGCTGTTCTGATTGAATGTTTTTTCTTCCTTATGTTCTAAGTCATTGTTTGGATTCTTGGCTTCATCTACTCCACTGTTGATTCCCTGTAATTTTTTCTTTATTTCACTTACGTTTCACTTATGTAACATTCATTTCTGCCTGGGTCTTTTTTTATGTTGGTGAAGTATCCACTGAATTCCTTGAGCATCCTAATAACCCATGTTTTGAATTCTGCATCTGATAGATTGCTTATCTGCATTTAATTTAGTTCTTTTTTTTTGGAGTTCTCATGTGTTCTTTCATTTGGACCATATTTCTTTGTCTCCTCATTTTGGCAGCCTCCCTGTGTTTGTTTCTATGTATTAGGCAGAGATGCTTTGACTCTATCGTGTAGCCTAATGTAGAAAAGTACACTTACAAGTTGTATGGGCAGGGTCTAAGGTAATGGCCAGGGTGGGGCAACCAGGTTGATGGATTTTCCCATATGGTGTTGCTGCTCTATGACTCTGTGTTGGGGAGGTCTCAGAGAAGTAACTATGGCCACTGCCTGGCCTCCAGGGTTTTGTCCAAGAGGAAGCTGTTCCCTAGCACTTGCCCTGATGCCAGACACTTTAGTTTCTCACTGTATACCACTGAGCCTCTCCAGCTGCTGCCCCAGTGCTGGAGCCCAGAGGGAGTGAGTCTGCATAAGTTGTAAGTCCCTTCCTGGCCCTTTAAGTGGAGACTCCTGAGAATCCCTTAGGTTCTTCCTCCACCCCAACCCCCACTGGTTTTTACAGTCAGAACTTATGTGGACTTATTGTCCTGGCACTGGAACCGTGGGGTGGGTGGTCTGCTGTGGGGCTGGGATCCCTCCCACTCCCAAGATTTCCTTCCCAATTTTTATCCACCACACATAGGTGTGGGGCCACCCATTCCACATGTCTGCCCCTCCTATCCATCTGGATGAGTATGACTTCTTTAATTCCTTGGTTGTTGGACTTCATACAGCTTGATTTCTGATGATTCTAGGTGATAGTTGTTTTTATATTTTAGTTGTAATTTTTGCTATGGTTTTGTGAGGAGGCAAGCTGTGGTTACCTAGGCCTCCATCTTGAGTAGCAGTCCTAAACTTGATGTTAATACTGGGCTCATATGGTAGATATTTGTTTGTTACTGTATAAGTTAAAAATGATTGGTTTTGATATTATTAGATGTCATTGAGAGCTGTGTCCCTCAATTACCAAACCGTTTATATTTTCAAGAAAAATGGATATGTGATGCATACAAATCAGAATGTTCCCTAACATAATAGGGAAAGCTTTCCTTTTGTGTGTTTCACTTTATTATATATGGTATTACTAGAGAACTATTATTGCCCAAAATGGAATTCTGTACCAGCTCACTTTTTCCATCCTTATTCTGACACTTCTTGTGGGATCTTTAGCATATCCTGAACTTAATTCTCTCTTTGACCAACATCTCTCCATATACATTTTTTCCTTTGATTCACTTCCTTATGGAAAACTCATGCTTGAACTTTAGCATCTGAGTGTCTTAGTTTTTGAAGATGAAGTTTCCATGCCTTGAAGACTGTCAGGCATTCAACATACTTGTTTCCTAAAGGGACTATAATAAATCTTAACTTATTTTGAAAGAATGAAAGAACAAAAGGGTTTGTTTTGCTGTTGGTTATTTGAGGCATAGAACGTACATATTTTAGGATTCTTTAAATAGCATTTCCAGATACTTTGTTTAGTGTCAGATCTGAATTATATAGAATAATGTGAACCATACATACAACATGACACTTAGGCATTTCTGCTAAGGGCTTTTGCATTGGAGCAGAAATTGGGATATTGTATTTGTACCTATTATCCCTTCAGATTTTTCTAGCATACACTTACTAACTTCTCCAGCCTCTACCCATTACACAGTGCCAAAGATACTCCCATATTTCTAGATATTTGTTACAGCAGTATCCTACTCTCAGAACCAAAATGTGTATTAGTCTGCTCGGGCTGCCATAACAAAAATATCAAACTTGTGGCTTAAACAACAGAATTTATTTATCATAGTTTTCAAAGCTGGGAAATATAAGGTCAAGGTGCCAACTGATTTGGTTCCTGGTGAGGGCTCTTTTCGTGGCTTGCAGATGGCTATCTTTCTGTTGTGTGCCCACATGACAGACACAGAGAGTGAATGAGCTCTGGTGTCTTCCTCTTACAAGGCACCACCTTCTATAGGGCCCCACCTTTGTGACCTTACTTAATCTTACTTCCTTGAAAGCCAGTAGAACCCCATAAATATCATGAGTGTGGGAAAATCGTTAGTCAAAATTCACAACAGGCATCAGAGAATCCACAATTGAAAATTTATAGGAATACAGAGACCCCTATAAATACAGTGAATGTGAAACTCTGAATACAAAATCAACATGCAAAAGTCAGTTGTGTTTCTGTACATTCCCAGTGAACTAACCAAGCAAAAATTTTTTTCAAACAAAATTTTTTTTAAATTCTATTTATAATAGCATCAAAAGAATAAAATACTCAACAGTGCATTTATAGAAAGAAGCAAAAGACTTATTTACTAAAACATATAAAATATTGCTGAAATTAAAGATAACCTAAATATGGAAAGACTTCCCATGCTTATGGATTGGAAGACAATATTGCTAAGGTGACAATACTAAATGAAAGTGATCTGTAGATTCAATATAATCCCCATTTGTGTAAAAAAATATTTAGAGATATATTTGGAATCTCACAGGACCCAGAATAGCCAAAAACAGTTGAAAAATAAAAAGAAAAATTGAAGGATTCACACTGCCTTATTTCAATACTTAGTGCCAAGTGACAGTGGGAAACCTGTTATGTTGCTGTCAG